AAATGCCATCATAAGGATCTGAACAAGAAGATCGATGTGGGAATCGGCAACGAGCGAATTTTCCATCAAATCTGGCTCAATGTTTTCGTTTGCGCTCGTCTCGGGAAGCTGACAGAGTCTTCGTTTTTCAATCGATGTATAACTGCGGTTCAAAGACGGCTGTCTCTAGTTATTGAACTAAAAAAAATACTGGCGCAGGATGGAAAATGCCGTGAACAAACCCAGGAATATAGTTTGGCGTACACTCAGGTTCCCGACGACGCATTCGAATCCACTGGCGTTAAGTATATTGCTTACAGCAGATGCCGCTCAAATTTCAACCCCACCACGAACGTTGAGCGGACTGTCATCCGGATACTTTGAGAACGCCCTCTATCGAATTTCGTGAGAAAAATAGTAACTCGGAAATTAGGTCTGTAAACTAGAACCATCGAAACGATTACGTAACTATTTACCTTGACACTGTATCTTTCGACCCCCGCAAAAGCAGTGAAATACGATGAGTAGACGCCGTCATCTTTCGTGATATCGGCGCCGCCACCGCTGTCAGCCATAATCAATTGGACCGAATCACCGCTTGGTCGTTCTACCGTGGCTACGACATGAGCATTCAAAACTGGTGTGATACCTGTAAATATAATGTGAGGTTATTACGAGGATACCTCAAAGTATGCACGAAGACAGTACAGCGGGAGTTTTTACAAAAGGATGACCATGAACTATAGTCTGTTAAATATAACAACCCACAAAAAGAACATACCTTTAGACACAGTTACATACAATATTAATTTCTCTGGAGGTGTGACGGTATTGGTACTCCATTCTGACGTCACTGTTATAGGATATTCACCTGGCACGCTGCTCTTTGATTGGACTGTCACACCCACGTGTTCTGTCGACATGGATGGATTTTTTATGGAGACATTCCACGTACCCACCTGATCAGGAGATGAAAAAACACGACAAATTAATGAATTTGCATACTAGTATTTATTTCTTTTTTGGTGTAGTTTTCATGGAATTTTAATCATGTGTAAAATCTTGGATGTTTTCTATGAAAAAAAACACAACAACAATAACTACACATTGCAAAACCGCACTAATTACTAATTCCCACAAACAATAATATGACAGAGGTTAGTACGAGGATACTGCAAAATATGCACGAAGGCATACTTTGCAGTATCTTCGTAATAACCTTATTATTTTACATCTTCTCCTCCCAGGAATACATCTCATGGGAATGCCGAAATCCGAAACGTTTAGAATAGATTTAGCGAACTTTTTTGTGTGGAGTCCGGTCAAACCCTGGGGGCAGCAATGTTTTTGCTTTTTTTATCTATTACTAGTATCAGAGAACGCTTGCGCGTGTAATCGCTCCATATTTGGAATTTCCGTTTCCTAATATGGTAGGATAAAAATACCCAGAGCAATACCTTTAAATTACGGCACGCTGTAACTTATGACGTTATGGTGACAGATGTATAATAATAGCTAGTTATGTAACAAATGAAAATACAGATCTAGAGCCTCTGAGCTTGATTTATAATGGAAGGTAAGTCGACGTATATGACTGTTACAGACGCTGGCCTTTACATACGTGAAAAAAACGACTGTAACCTTACCTCGGCAATTCCCGGTACTTTAATCCGTAAAACTTTAAAAGTACTGTCCAAATCATAAAATGGCGAATTGTTATCAACGGTGCTCCCATTGGGGGCTTGTAACGTCACATCAATATCGGTCAATTGAAGGTAATTAAAGACGAGCTCCGTATTTATGCCAATTGATGCATCAATAACGAATGAGAAAACAAAAGTAGTACCACCATCAATAGCAATAGTATTACTGTAGAGGGGTATCGATTGCTGCAATACACCTAACAAATAATTAATAATAATAATAATAATAATAATAATAATCTCACCGCGGTGTAAATATTTTCTCCGCGGTTTAATATTTCTCACAACGGTTTTAATATTCTCACCACGTTGAAAATATTCTCACCGCGGTGTAAATACTGGTGAAAATGTCGAAAATTCGAAATAAAAGGCGAAAATTCATAATGAAAGCAAAAAACTACTTGAGAAAATTTCGGAAATAGGCAAATACAAGTGAAAATGCCAGAAATTGGGAAAATGGTCAATGGCCCTACTAAACAAATAATAATAATAATAATAATAACAATAATAGCACAACACAGATTATTCCATAAAGCAACTTCGATTTCTCATGGTAAAACTTTATTTACAGTACTGCTCTAACTTTGCAAAACACAATTTGTAATTACTCAGAAACTTGTTTTATTAAAATGGAAGTTGGATCTGTATCCCAGAGATCTCTGGGCGAGTTGGTCGCATTTTTTATTTGGTTATCGACTGCTAATATATTCCCTTTTTATCGCAACTAAATACTCTGCATGAGCACAATTTTCTAGCCGTGGTTGAGTCGCCTCTTTTTGCGAACAGGGTTATCACTGCAAGGACCAGTGAAAATATCCGCAATACGACTCCATGGCGTGCATCGGTGCTCATCAACGTCATGTGAGTGACGTTGCCGCTCTAATTCAGGCCTTTATCTGCGACGGTGTTAACGATATTTCACCCACCGACTGTTGCGAGGATTGGGATTGGAGTTGGTGCAATAGTTACTACTATTATATTCAACATCGAAACACAAAAAAACAACAACATTCCAAATAAAATGTTTCTCGGTCGCAAACATGCCGGCCATCCTAGATACGGCTGGACATGGAATTAGTATGGTGTGGTGTAGTGTAGTGTAGGTCAGATATTTGTATAAAATTACATTTGTGTTTCGAGCAATTAAGTTTGTGTTTCATGAATTTAAAGATCTGTTTCGTGAATTAAAGTTTTGTCGTGAGAAGAAAAAGTTTTGTTATGTAAATTAAACTTTATTAATCAAGTTTGTGTTGCGGAAAGTAATAGATGATGTGACGCCATGGGCAACGTGCGACATTGCCCACAATCCAATGCGCTCTTCTAATAGAAATCACAAGTATGAGGTTTGACCTGGGCGCGACCTGTACTAATTACCGCCGGTGACTCCTTCGATAACTTTCAATCACCCAAAAAATACCTAATTAAAGCTTGATAACTTCTCAGTTTATACTCGTTGATCTGCACAACAGCCAACGTCGCCATCTTTGTTTATATAAGACCCATATATCTAGCGAATGCATGGGGCGACGGCTACCACCCTTTAAGCGATTGTGAATTAAGTGCTGCTGTGTTGGCATTAATCAATATCCAGACATGTCGGCGTCTGGTAGTGTTCTTAAATGATACATCTCAGCTACATAAGTAGCCTGACAAGTTGGCATAGGTGGCGCGCCCTGGACTGCTGCGATCCACTTACGTTTTGAGTATGTGAACGAAATATAAAAAATAGTAACTTACTTTGCCCTCTCGTGGCAATGGCGGCAAAAGCTTCATTTAAAGCATTAGACGTGGCACTCTCAGAATAAAAGAAAGCCCTTCCTCCTGTGGATGTTGGTAACAGTTCCAGGTTAAGGGATGCTTGTTCACTAAATGCAATTACGTCAACACATATACCTTTCGCAATGAGCTAAAAAAGAGAAGTATTTAAAATATGGCAAACACATAAGCTACTTAACTTGCTCTATAAACCATCAAAAGTAAGTAAATGGCTGATTGGCAGCCATCTTGTTTGAACGAATGTAGTTCAACAGAGCCATATCTCACACATGCCCAATGAATTTTAAACTTCACACATACATAACACACTAGGTTTTACATATATTGCGTCTATAGTACAAATGGGGGCTATGTCATTTACAATGACTTGTAATTATGTATTTAAATGCCAGGCTAGCTTTCGTGTCAATAAGTTGATCTGCGCATGCGATAACAAGATATTGCGCCACCAACGACAGGCATATTCCTATTTTTTGTTGTTTCGAATAAAAAAACATATCTAAATCAGTAAAAAAATGAACTTGACCGATGGACTATACTAGTGTGCCAGCACGATGACTTGCTCACAAATTACGACGTTAGTTTTTAGCCTTCAGAATCTGCGAAACGGATAAATAAGATAAACATGATATCAAATTCTCGGCGCTACTAAATGCGCTTTTGTTCAAATTCGATATTGTAGGGTCACTAAGGTGATATAAATGATTACGCCTTTTTAATAGCTCGCGCCCTCTAGTGACAAAGCTTATTATCGAGGTAAATGTGTGCCACTAATTCCGTTCAAACCGTCTATATTCTTTTTATGTGTAGCCGTCCTATACTGACGATTCTGTTGTTTTGAGATTTTTTTTTCATTCTAGGCAATGAACGACTACATAACCAAACTCAGTTGTCGATTTGAACGACATTGTAATTTTGACGTCACAGAAATATTTCGTCACTGGAGGGCGCGACTGATAGCTCAATTCTGTTGTTGAAAAGCCATTTTCACTGATTTTGAATGTAAAGTATGGAAATAAGGTATATTCACTAGATTTTAAGTATTTTACGGCATCGTTACTAACAAGCATGCACATTATGTTTCTATTGTATACGATTTGATGTCTGATATTTTCCCCTAGGGTCCCTTGCTAGACAATCGATGACTCTGATTCAGACTGAGGCTTTGGGCTGATTGGTCACATGCAATATTCTCATTTACTGCCCAAAATCTAGTTTTACATGACAACTGAGGTAAAAGACGGGGAATTATTTTTGTTACAGGACTGCAATACCATACATCTAATAAGTGCCTTAATGAATATGACTTGTAATTTTATATATGAATTTGTACTCGACAAAATGTGAATTGACTCACATATACTTACAGTAGGTATGACTTCGGAAATATATGGAGATGTATTTTCTTCGCCGTCACTCACAACTAACAAGCAACCACCAAGTCTGCTGATGTCACCGTCTTGCAAAACCTCAATCCCCTTTAACAGCCCTAGAATTGCGATTGATTTTTAATTGCAGTATTATCATTGCACATTTTTATAGTTCAATATTAAATTGATGGTTGTATTGGAAATTCAAGAAGGAAGTAGGTACCGTTGCCGATTATTGAATATATAGTGTTCGATATATTTTTTTAAAGCCACTTACTAAAATATGAAAAAAAAAACATTGGGAAATGTACTAAAATAAGAAATTATGGCCTATAAGGTATAGGTCGCTATATTGTTATCTGACTTGGGCATACCGCCGTGCCATCTAGCGAAGTGAAAGGGAAGCCGTTCCAATGCCGTTACTAGCGTCGATATTTATTTTGTTATCTGTGGTAATCTGTCATCAAAACTTTTAGAGATTTACCGCAATCCAAATGACGTACGACGACACAACCAAACCGTGTTGTTGATTTTAACGATTTTAACGCTTGGTCGTAGAACACTTAATGAAAGGTGTATTGCAATAAACTATTATACGGGATTTTGTATATGCTTACTAGAGAATCTAGTGGAAAATCGGTGAAAGGATTTCAAGCATTCAAATGAGAACGCCCATCCACGGCTTCTAACGCTCTAGTGGCCAGGAAGCTGTAGGGCTAGTTAATCAAAATTGAGAGATTTGGAATAGGAATATCCAATACCACTTCCCTCTTGCGCCGAAGCACTCATGTGACGTCAGACAGGCGTGAGCAATATCGTTCAAATATATAACTTTGAGAAGACGTTTAAAATATAATAAATCTGTATAATGAACAATATTTTTATTGACGGAAGACCACAAATTAAAATAAAACAATATCTACTCCATGATCTGCAACAATAATTCCCGTTTACGTCACGGAGGACATCGGTCGCTAAGGGGCCCAACTTATATTAAGCTTGCAACGTGGTTTTGACAGTTAAATTTGAAGTAATTGATAATAAACGCTGCCAACTCAACCAAGTTTATAGAAAACTCGCTAATTATCAAGTTCTTTTCAGTTGTAGATTGTCTAAATCACGGTTCGTGTATGGACCGTCATTCACAATTATTCCGAACAACAACAAATGACGTCCCATGTCATACGTCACAAGCGACGATAACAACGCACGCTAAAATCGCGAAGGCTCATGGGTAGACATTTGCTTGTAAACAAGGACACGCTATGGCCGTTTGCCGCATGCGCAGGTGACGACTAAGACTCCCCTGCTTTAAACGGGGGCGAAGTACATCCATGCCCTCAATAAATTGTTCTGGTACTATAACTTCAAATTCATGACGAGATACACAATGGAGAAGATAGGGATTGTTCAATACCAACCTGCACCAATGCTTGTTGAACCATCCGTGGTTGTCGGTATTAACGCCGATAACTGTGCTCGTGTGCTCGCATCAATAGTTACTAATTGTGATAAAGTAGTAGCAGAATCGCTAAATTCAACCATTCCGAGTTCATCGCCGTTGCTTACCCAATCTGTAATGTAGATGTTAACGACCTGGAAAGACAACGCAATCTGATTAGTAGCACGAAATGCGTGATATGTCTGGCACGACATGCATGAAGGGTGTGTAAGTATTTTGTAAAACATAGAAGGATTGTTTACACCAGAAACTTTATTTCAGATACCATGTTATAAGTTAATTTGTCAAACTCGTAAAGAAACTGATGACGGGACGTTGTCATATACATTCACACACATTTATAGTGTTATCAAATTCAGTGCATTGATGCGTTCAACGAAAACAAATATATGCATTCTAAGAGCAATTTACCAATAAACATGATATGTTTCGATTCAGTGTTAAATGATTATGAGATTGTATATTTTGTTTGTTTGCTTGTAAATCAGAAGACAGTATTATGTGAAAGACACATTTCAATAAATGTTTCGTGGATATTAGCCCCAAACTCGCTGCAAATATTGATTTCGTTCCTGATTTTACAAACTATCTGTCAAATAAAGTGAATAAATAATTTTCTCTGAAATTTGTCTCAATACTTTTATAGATATTGAACATGACAATTTGTAGTTCGACATATAACAGATTTTGCTTCACATATTTGTCCAAAACTTGCTCATCTCGTAAACATTTTATTCAAGTTTTCCTGCTAGAGTTTTGTTATCTATAAATTACAAATAATTAGCAATATATCCGAAAAAAACAAAGAACATATCTTTTCTTGAATTTCAAAATATTGTCATTATTTAGCCTAGCAACTACGATTATTAATCTCGGTAAAGGTTCATTTGAACTGGCTATATTAATGGATTTTAAGAAAGTCTTTGATATCATTGGCCATAATTTTTTTATAAAAACAAATGGACTATTATGGATTTAGGGAAGAAGCTTCTGGGTTAAATTTCTAATAGAACACAGAATGTTAGGGTGAATAAATACAACCTTTGGATTTTGTACAATTTGCATAACAACGAAACAACGATAATGTACTCTAACACACATTAGTGATGTTATATAACTGCCTTATTCAGCTGAATGAAAGTGAATGTGTTGCATAGAATTGTTGGGTCATGCAAACAAATTAATTCTGACACCCATTTTCATATTGCAGAAAAAAGTCGTCAAATTTGTTTTCGAATTCAGATTCACTCTTTAAATTGTGCACTTGTTTTTTGATATTCGATTTATAACATGATAATTTAGCAAAAAGTGGATTTGACAATAAAATTATGCCAATTAAATATGTAACACAAGATCAGCCCTCAAATCGAATTTATTCGATAAAAGGCCAAATCCTTGTCACTGTAAATATAGTATAATTTCCAGTGTTACTCCTCTTTGAAAATTTTACCTTATAAATTGACTGTGCTATAAGTGACAAATACAATGTTTTAATACAAGCCCAATGCATGGGTTAAATATATACCCTTTCGTTCAATGCATTATGGCTATATACCTTCGCGTACTGTGTCATGAACACATAGGTTGACGACGACGTTGTCGGGCGCACAAGAAATGATTACGTGTACTATCTTGCGTGGGAGTGTTCTATTCTCCCGTACTGTGTATTGATAATAGGACATCAAATATACATGTCAAACATACTTGTCCCAACTTTATGATTCGTTCGCCAGCCATACTTCCTGAGACATCCAGTACCATTGCAATTCTGCTGCCCCGCTGTTTAACAAAACGGAACTCAGGGACAGTCACATCACATCCAGCTCTTGGTGGGTTAGCGCCGTCAGCAAAGTCTACGTGTTCTCGCATTATCTATTGAGGGTAAATGATACCATACAATGTTATCGAAAGAAACAAATACACACACAAGCAGTGGCGGATCCAGAGGGGGGGGGGCAGGGAGGGGATGGCCTCTCCCAAACGCATGATGATTCATATCATCTGGATTACGCATAGCTTCTCTGCGATTTACGCTCCGTATATCTTAAGCGAAGCTTAGACCCCCCAAATACATTTTGCTGGATCCGCCACTGCACACAAGCAAACAAGCGAGCGAGCGAGTGAGTAAACAAGCAATCTAGGCAGCCACTCAACAAACAAACGAACTTATCAACAAACAATCATGCAAGCAAGCTGGCAAGCAAACAAAAATGCAAAACAAGACAAGCAAACGGTAAGCATGCAAACGATAAATAACTTGCCTCCCACACGCTCTTCTCATCACAGAGTTTATTTTGTTTACTCGGGGACTCAACATTATGAATACTTCCAGCCGTATCAGCAAAGGTTTTGTTGTCACAAAAATGGATAATCTGAAAGAGAAACACACGCAGTTATGGCAAAATGTGGATCCATAAAATATGAATAAATCATAAATCATGTCATATTACTCGCATACTTAATTAATTAATTTGAGTGCGTAACTTAGATATAATATACATAATATATATACAATGTCCGTATGTACGTACTTGTGGTAGGTATTGTCGGTACATAAGCGAACCTGAAAATGCTGTTGAAACATTTGAATCGTAAAAATAACAATCATCTTCAGGATAATTATTAATGTATGCACAGTCTGCTCTAGTAAACCGATTCTTCATTACGCCTACAACAATAAAAGGGTTAAAAATGTCAGGATATTAATTGACAGCTGACACATAATAAATGTCACAGTTTCTCAGATTGTATTGTAATCTTACTTTTATCGATTACGACACAATGTCTGCAAAATCAGTTAAAACTGATGGTAACTTTAAATATCACAAAACCTTAGAAATAGTTTTAATATTTAGGCTGTAAACTCTTACAAGTGAGATAAATTCAATAATGTATCGAAACAATGGCAAAAGCTCCTATGAAAGAAAAAGAAATTGTCAAAATTGTCTAAGAAGGCAGCCAAACGACGTGACTGATTACAATTATTTCATTTTCTCGTAAAAATTAAACCATAGATACTACATGCAAAATTAAAGGGCTAATTCGATTAGTAAAAAAGAACCATAGTAAACAAATTCTTTGAATTTTTGCTATTTTTGTAAATTCAGCATGGCGACCAATTGACATGAATTATATTCTTGCTGTCTCAAGGAGATTCAACGTAGCAAATTTCAATCAGCATAAAGCTAATTTCCGCTTAGAAATTTGAGATGGCACCAAACCACCACGTGGCCAATCATAAAGAGTTTTACAAAGATATATAGATAGATAGATAATAGATGTTAAACACAACATTTCAGATCAATGCATTCAGTGGTTATGAGGAAGAATATTTTGAAGAGTTATGGTACCGGATTACTTTTAGAATTCACTGCTAATTTAAACAAGTTGGTGATGTTTTGAAACATACACAAAATGTGGGATACACACACATTCAGCAGGCGCACGCGTGATAATAAAATAAATGCGATATTTACTATATGGGGGCCGCCATCTTGAATGCGGCATAAAACTAAATAAGAGACAAGTTGTGAAACGCGTTTTTCAAATTCCTACAAATCAGGACAAAAATACCAAACTTTCACAGAAATACGATCCGTTCGGAGTAATATTAAGGCGACCGCTAACAAAATTCGGCCGATTTTGTTGTTTTTGTGTGGAAAAATCCCTTAAATACGAACACCTAATTACACGAATAACATAGAACACTTTCCCGGGGTATTTGAAACCGAAATTGTCATCTAACTGTAAGACCGTCGTTGATTGGCCGCTGAGCTGGAATGACAATTTTTGGTTTGATATTGTATCGTGTTGTGAATTTGTGTACACCATACAATTGACATACTTGTGAACCCGCCACTATATTACTATCTCAATGACCTCAAACGACCAGTGACCCCTATGACCTGCGCAACTAACCATACCTCAGTATCATTCTATAGAAGGGGTGAATGGTAATATGCAGCTTCAGTAAAATTGAAAAGGGACGCAACATACGATATTACCAGTCGTTGATTGAGTTGCTAGTGTATATACACACTCATTCATCGTCATAGTTACGGTTATGTCAAAATACATTGTATTTACTTGGAAAAAGTGAGTCAATAAATCCGTGAAGTTTTCAGTCGGCTTTTTATGTAGGCTGCAAGCACACGGTGAAACACGGGGGGGGGGGGGTGACTCCTGGATTGAGCAACACTACTACATATTCACTCAATGGGCTTAGATTTGTCAGTTGAGATCAGTGATGATCAGGTGATTAAGTAGCAACTAGAAATTTAAGCGTTTTTGATTTAAAGAAATAAAGGCTTCTACGCATAGTAGGGTAAAACGAGAGCGAGTGAACCTAGTAACTTTCAAATCTCAGTACACAGGTATGTTATTTTCTAAGGCGAAATGACCAAGTACTTTTTTGTCTAAACCGACGCACACGAGTTTTGTTCAAAGCCGAAACTCATGATTATTGTTTGTGCGACAGAGACATGTATATTTCACTTGAGTACACACATTTGTTTACCATAAGCCAGACTTTCTTTCAAATTCACAATACTAAAGTGTTTAGTGCAACAACGGACCAGGTACAATTATACATATATTGTCTTTTTTTATATAAAAACAGGACCGGCACAAATTGAAGTATTTTGTTTCTTCAACTGGATCACGTTATTTGTTCAGATACCGTGTTTTTGGATTGTGAAGAACTTTATTCAAATAAAATAAATACAGTTGTTACCGTCTCTGCTATTCAAGATTTTAATTAAAATCAAAATCTCAATGCAAATGAAAATGTAAATCAATTATAAGTAAATATCTAAATTTCAAAATCTTACTGCAAGACAACAGCTCAAATTAAAATCAATTTTCGATTGAAAATACAGATAATTGTAAGGTAATTGAAACAGCGTAGCTGCCACCCCACTCCGTTGTCATGGTTAATTCTTGTCAAATCAATCAAACTTTCAGTTTCATTTGATTACGTGTTTAAAACGCTATAGAATCAAATCCTATTGGTATAACGTCAGTGAGTAGTTTTTAAATATAATAGGTAACCTATCACGACCTTTACCAAGAGTGACCTCGGTATTTATATAAATGAAAGGTAGTACAACTCGGCATTGTACAAATGAAACGACACGTATCACTCGTTACTGTTCGCTGAATTGCTTTACCTGGAAAGCTTGAGTCAGTGTTTTATATATACTTATTAGGAAATAATATTATATTGCTCCTCGTTTTTATTTTGTGATTGCCTATTAAAAAAAAATCACTTGAGCTGATTTAAAGTACATTGTAAACAGATTTAGGATTACAAGTCTTCGTAATACAAAACTTAAGATAATCCCCAAATCGGATTAGAATGAACACTGCCATTAATTACCAAGTTCCTAACAGCTCCTTAGCACGGGCTAAGAGGTCAAATACCTTAGCTAGTGCTAAGAAAACGCTTAGCATGGGCTTAGAAACGCTAGGTACGGATTAAATCTGGTCCGTTTTAAGACCATGTCCAGATCCTTGGAACGGGCTAACGACTCGAGTGAACGTGAACGCTTAGCTCGCGCCCAAAACTCCATTCAACGTTCATTTGGATGATTTACTATTATATTCATAACTATTCATTTCGTTATGCCATTTCTGACATGACAACCAATGCGAACACGCGAGACTCAGTACTACTTCCTGCTAACCACTCCCCCGCCCGTGCGGGAACGCAATTAGGTCTATTGATATTGAAACATATGAGATTAGCTTAAATCTTAGCTTACTAATATGATAGTACAAGTATTTATCTGCTTCAAATATGTTTTAAATTTTTTTTTTTTTTAATTATTACATATATTATTAATTTATTGGTGCCTTTAATTGCAATATTTATTTGTATAATGATCGACTTTTAACTCCACTGTCGACAGTGTATTGCGTAGTATCCATCTGTTGTTAGCGCCTTCCATTTGTTCACTAAGTTTCCGGCTTTCCTTTGATGTTTGCTTATTTTTGCTTTCATACACACGTTAATAAAAATTATCTCCCGACATTGTTTTATGCTAAGAAAATGTAAATAGAAATATTGACTGTTTGTTAAAAGGTTAGTTCGATCGAGCAAGTATCACTGCCGTCAACAGATTCACATATTTGGTTAGGATAAAACAAACTTTATTTCGACTACGAAGTGTTAGAATTTACGCCGCCGGTCGGCCGTTCATATATGTGGTAGTCGTGAATTGTACAATATCTCGTGGTATACCCACATTGGGTGGGCGGGGATGTGCCATTGCATTAGTGTTCATTATATTTTGTGCAATTTCATTGTGTTTGTACCACGAAAACACATTTTCCTATTTTAAGAACTGGGTGCCTACAATACATAATCAAAACGCTCGACGCAAGACCTATTGCAGGTGTCAACAATTGCATATTCCTCATGACTAGAAGTGAATCAACGTCACGAGCATTACAGCTAAGTAACCAACGAACCCGAAACTTAACTATTGTTCTTCTAAGGGAACTAGGGATGTAAAAGCTGAACTAAAAGGCCGCTAGCTGGCCACATTGTTTAGGATTACGGTAAAACAGCGAATAATATTATAATTGAAGTACTAACAAGATTAGAACGATTTTAAATACTGCTTCTTGTTATTTTTTGCATCTACTTTACAAGTCGTGATGCTAAACAAAACACCAAAGATAATTCAAATATAAATAAATGTATGCACCAACCTTTTGGCCGCGTAATTTGTCGCCAATATAAACGGAGAAAACGACCGACATACAATACCTGTGACTGCAGTAGAACACCTAGTGGCTTCTATGCCACCGTTACCAGTTGAATAGAAATAAGGAGCGCCAGTATTGCCGCCAGGGTATTCATCATATACACCATATCGTAAATGACCCCATTCGTGTACTATTGCCTGAAAAATCAATAAAAATTTGTACTTATGAAATGCAGAGTATGATTCTAAAATGGGGAAAATGGCAGAGCAAAAAAGTTAAGTGTAATGTTGTGCAAATGTAGTTCCAATATATTTGTCTCTGTGAGGCACGCCGATCCAATTAGGACGCAGTACATATTCTGTACATGACGTACACTTGAGACACATCTATGTACTGTATGTTGTGTATGGCAAGCTGTGTGGGACATTTCAATGTATTAAATCTTATACGACACGCATGGTTGCCGAACACCCGACTATTATACAACATGGACGCAATAACCGATGTTTTAAGAAAATAAAAAATGCGATACAGGAAGTATTTTTTTCTCGACATATCAATAAAATGCCCGATCAATATGAACACCCGGCAAAAGCCGTGACTTAAAAACATTAAAATTTCGGTCACAGTAACAAAATAAGTGTCACTGGCGCATCTTTGTAATAAGTTTCGCTATTTTTTTCACTTGTTCATGTAACTTATACAGTACGCATAAAACATTATTTATTTACACAAACGACGACTGTGATGTTTAAACCTCACTGAATAAATCGCAGTTGATTTATAATACATACGTGTTCGTAAGAACCATAGATGGCAGCAATAATTGGATCCTTGAGATATTTTGTTGTGAGATGCATATAATCGCCAACTTCTCCACACGGTGTAGGTTTCATTACGTAAGGTCCATGGTGAATACCGCCATCAATTCGGATATCACTAGTGCCATATGTCTCGAATTCCTGCGTTTCATACTCGGCGTTATCAGTCCAGGACCGCGGAACGAGGATACTTATACTCTTGAAATATGCACGATATCTGTTGAGAAAAGAGAGTGTCTTAGATATATCTGGAAAAAAGTGCGAAATATTACCAAAGAACAGGATATAAAGAGAGCATACACAAGACGTATGTGTTATCACCATCGGGATATATCTTCTTTTATAGCTACGTTGCTAGTCTGACAGAACATTAGGTTTAAAATGGGGTCTTGGTTTTCCCCTATACAGTTGCACATCTGTACCATGCGTGTACAGTTATCGAGTAACCCCAGGCTTCATCTACTAGTCTCAAAACACAAATGAACTTTATAGTATTATTACAGAGTACAACTGTAATACACTGATAAATAACACTCTTTATGAAGTCGATAGTTTCTAGTTGGCACTCTACATATATATCCAAGCCTAGACACGGATCACAATTCGTGTATAATTTTTGGCCCGAGCATGCCTGAAGTGTGAATATAGCTTCCGCTAAGAAAGAGTATTCGTCTACTGAAAACATGTACTCGATCGGTAGTGCTTATTTGTCTGTAGAAACGACATCTTAAGAAAAGGGAATGAGGAATGGTATTGTAAATATTTGCACCTTTCGTTAATGGCATGATGTATGCATGTACGTGCATCAATCTTTCACGCACTGAAAGAAACGTGATTTACTGTTTGTTAACTGGGATGATTGTACACCTCTCCCAATCTACGCCATTTTGTCACGGAAACGCCATGCAGCTTGACGTCGTAACATAAAAAAACATGTGCTTTGCCGAACTTTGATTTTGTTTTTATCGATTACATAAACTTTACACAATTTCAAGATCGTAACTCATCTTCCCCATAATGGCTCCAAGTATTTTTTTATATAAAAATTGCCTTTATGTCCAAATTAATTAGTAGTTGTCAGTACACCACTCGAGAGTTGGTAGTAGTGACCACAGAAATAACCATAAACATAAACGCTACCTTATATACTAGAAGTTCACAAAATGAGAGAAACATATGAAAAGAAAGATTTTAAAATACTGATTGGTGAAACATTACCTGGTTATCTCGCAAAGAAATGCTGAAGCGCCGGTGAAAACTTCTTGAATCCTGTCCAGTAGGTCCAAGTCTTCGGGAACGGTCTCTTCAATTGCGATCACTATGTTGTGGTATTCGTTGTTAATTAGCTTTACTCTGGTATGACTGACACTGTTAACTGCATACATCATACAAGCAAGGATGACACCTATGTATACACTCGATGTTGTCCCTAACCGAATCATTATGTTTAGTAGCCGATAATCAACTGACTGTGAATAGTTTCTTTCTTGGTGGAATGTAGTTACACACTTCTTGGAAACGCGTGACCAATTGTGAATAATATAGTCGTACCATGTGACAGCATAAATAAATAGAACTCGGTGACTTGTAATACATGAGTAGATCCTTCAGTAACTATGCGTTATGCTGTTTACAACAGATACTAATGCCAAGCAAGTTACCCCTATTTATAGAGAATTGGAGGTTCCAAGCTGAGCAGTACGAATGTATTTATTTATTTATTTTTTTCATTCGCTTGCAGTCACTTTTCAGAAACCGCTGTATGTACAGCTATTAATTTCATTTGAAGTTGTACACCAGCCTTCTTGTAGCTGCCAGTTTTAGACATTCAGTTTTCTTAAACATTCCACATTATTCGGTAGTTATTCGTTATCATAATATTTTCTTTGTATATTGTCATTTTAGTTTATGGATGTCGTCTTCTTATTGGCTGTTACTCGTATTGCATGTTATATCATTAATTCGGCAAGATGATTGTCAACGTTTAGAGGCCAGTCATTTACGTCAACCTGAAGTGGCTAGCTGAATTTTTCTAACCGACCACAGTTGAGAAGTAAATAACACCAAATAAACGGCATAGTAAATAGTAAGTCAAAGCAAGGTCACGTGACCGTGGTCAAATCAAAGTAAACATGTACTGCGTGCGTGACGAGTCGGCACTCGCGTACGGCACGTAATCGTCTATAGCTTCATGTCACAACACGTCTTCCCCTCAAAAATCACTTCATTTAATCTACTGCTTTTATGAAAACGAGTGGCTTTACTGCAAAACTCTTTCGTGGCTGGTGAATAATGTGGCATTTACCGTTCAAAATAAAAAAAAGTTTACACGCAATGTTGCATACTTTGAAATATGACAAATCTTGAAATGTTGCTTGCATTCATAAATATCAAATTGACCTAATTATGAGCATTTTGTTCATAAAATGACAAAATAGATAGACCTCAAATGTTAACATGTAAAATAGTACACGACATTTACTTTCAATAACACATAAGACATGAAAAATACAACTGTGAAAAAATGTTATAGTATACCTGTTGACATGTACACAATTTTAAATTCACTAAAACACCTTTTTCCTAAAACTATTTTAATTTCAAGCACTTCAGAAAACAAATAAGCACCCATGTGATGTTTCAACCGAAAACACCCGACATGTTTGCAGTCTACGGCACGCATCCGTAATAGCAACAATGCATATTATCACCTGTGTACAGAAAATTTATTAGAAAAATAGAAAATTTGCCAAAACATGTCACCATTGACAGCAACCATTTTCTGAGGAAAGCCAGGAACCGCAGTTAACCAAAATAAATTTGAAGGTATGATGGTATTATATTTTTACTCCTTTACAAAATGTGGGGGAAATGGGAATAGAGCGCCAGCAGCTGGTACTGGATTTTCATTTGCAGCGACCTCCATTCATTTCTGATCATTATGTGCGGGTTGTTACGATAAATTATTCAACTCAAATTACAATTTAAAGTACATTGTAATACATTTACAGGACCTGAGAATTACATATTTCATAAATTTCATGATTAACATAAATATGCCGTTACATTCCTATTACTGGCCTTTGTGTCGTACCTCCCTTAGGATGAATCTCTAACATCAACATACTAGTATAACCACCAAAAAGTTTCTCAGTCAAGGCCACATCACCCGCCTTGTAGACTTCAGCTGGAATCGAGTCCAAACCAGGTGATTGCCACTGGAAAATATGCAGACTTATTTCTGAATTTCCTACAAGGTGGTCCGTTCAACACAGACTTGAGGTAGCCCGTCAATGGCTTCATCGTTGATGGTGGAAGATCTGTTCAAGATGCTATCAAAGTGTTCCGCCCATCTCCCCAAAACCTTCTCCTTGGTGGTAAGTGTTGTCCCATCAGCACTGAGAATGGGAGACAGTGATCTTGAGGCAGTAGGGCCGTAGACATCCTTTAAGCTGCCATAGAAATTCTTCATGTTGTTTCTGTCTGTAAAGCCCTGGATATCATCTGCTTTGAGGCTCAACCAGGAATCCTGCATCTGACCCAGTTTAACTTGAATAGTGCTCCGTGCATTCTTCAGAGTCTTTCTTCAATGCTGATTTTGAGTCATTGAGATGAACATTGTAGGCACGACGCTTTTCTTCAAGCAGCTGCTGGATCTCTCATCAAACCAGTCATAATGCGTCCTTGCAGTTCAACATATCTGATTACAAATGCCCAATAGAGGTACAGCCAATTTGTACAGCCATGAATGTAGTCATTCAAGCCATAAACGCCAACTTCCTGGACAATTGAACCAATATGTAATGGATTTTTAAACTAATTACTGCTGTAGCTTGTCCAGCAATGTTTTTGTATTGATCTGTAATTCATTCTTAGTTCATTCGTTTTCTACAAACTTTTCAAAACTTGTGGTTACTCCGCTATGTGCGATTATCATACGTTTTACCAATTGTGTTTCCGCCCTCTCGTGTTCGCTTTACAATATTCTATGCATACATTGATTACTTCCTTGTACCTCTGCCATGTTTGCAGTGACTTAGATACACTTGTTTAGTGCTCCAACTGAAATGTTTAGTTGTAGTCCAAGCTTTGTATACAACATGTCTGTGTCTATACTGGCTCAGATTAACATAGTGTTTCGAATTCTGTAAATTCTTCATATTAGGCAAAATGTATCCAAAAAATAGACAAATTACATTTCTATCATCCTTTGGAATAAGATCAAAATTTTCATCTTTGTTAGATTATTCCATGCATGGTTTCCGTGGCATCGTATGCTGTAGATTTGATCAAACTTCTGACTTGTAATATTAATCTAATGTGTTTTCAGCATAATTTATAAGTGATTTAACATTTTTTCCATTGATACAAGCTACTTCTAAAAATAATTCTGATGATCCAATATTATTATACATCTGTTGCCGTAACGCAATTACAGTGTGCCGTAATTTTGCAGTATTTACGGGGCATTTTCACCCTACCATATAAGGAAATGCAAATTCCAAATATGGATGATTAAGTGTGTAAGCTTCCACAAATAATAAAAGCAAACATGGCTGCCACCAGGGTTTAACTAGACTCCACACATGCAGGAACGTTGCCTTATATCTTTTCCATGTGTGATGAAACAAAAATCCAACAACTCGTTTACTCAGGGAGTCTCCTATGCAAGTACTAACCACGCCCGATTGTGCTTTACTTTAAACATTTGTACCTTCTAGAATTGACCTCTAAATACTTTGATTAACACTACGCTATTTTAACGGCAATTAACGAAATATTTATTCACATTTTCAAACTGTTAACTATTGGACTTGTTATTATGATATCACAGGTAAAAATACCGAATGAAACTATCAACTTTGCAATCGCTTTTCACATAGTCATAAAAAAGTTGATATGGAAATTGATGAAAGCGACGCACACGAACCATTAACACCAGTCGTGAGTGAAAACAATAACAAACTTAATGAAAACGATATGCAACCAACCACTGATCACACTAAAACGAGCACAATCACACCAAACCAAAATAAACCCGTTCACGATTACATAGATAATATTACCGACACTTCTGTAAACTATGCAAAACAAAACAAATCAACTGATTATCAAACAGAAACAAATACCACAAGTCAAACCAAAGCAAACGCCGATCAACAAAACACGTGTATAAACAATACAAATGGAAATGAGCTCACTCAAAATAACCTAACGTCAGCAGCGCTAACATAACAGGTGTTGAAAACGTTGTTGGTAGTCAGTCAATGTCAAATGACAATAAGGTACCTGAAACCCCTGCTGTTGAGGAGAGGGTACCAACCCCTCCCTCACTCCCCTTGCCCACGGACGGGCCTGATCCTCCTCCCTTTCCCGGCCCTGGAGACGCGCAGAGTGGTTTTCGGGCTTTTGATGTCTTTGATCGACAGGTCGGAAACCCATCAGACGACAGGGAAAAGATTGAGTCTATCGCCTCTGATATATCTGACTTGTCTCAGGTTTCATGGAGGACTGTTCTAATGAGAAAGAAAAAAATCTACTTTCCCACGAATCACTTGCTACTTTCTTAGCGATTCGTTCAATTCAAGACAACTTATTGATCATGCAATCTCATTCTGTCCTGACCACAGACTTTTAGTGAGATCATCGACGCACTACCGCAAGAACACAGAACTGGCAAGTAAAGAAAAAATCAGGATACAGAGAATGTCATCCAGAATAGCAAAACACTTCCTGAATATAAAAAAAGAAACAAATTACAGACCATGAAGACACCAATGATGACACATATGAACGAGCGGCTGACCAAGTATTCCTCAGGAAACGGGACCTTCTTACCAGTCATAGTGGAAATCAAAGAAAGGCAATTAAACCGTTTTCTTCTATGTTTAATCATGGAACACAATAATAAAAAACGTAATAAAATTTATGTTCTTTGTGATAGTACTGTCTTTTTTGGGTTTCTGTCGTCATTATATTTAGCGCATATATGTACTATATCATCTGGCTAGCTACAACTTACACTAAGCTACATGCGTACTGTTCTGTAATATTGTCAGCACCGTTTTGTGCATCTCGGATGGCTTTTTTCCACTTAATTGGCCGATCACTGTCGCAGATAGACTATGAATCCAATTTAACGCTTAATCTGTTCTTTGCAAATAAATATACGAATCATATCGTTGCCAAGCTTGTGGTAGCTTTACTTAATCACGTGACTCATCTGGCGCCTGGTAGCTGTTTGAGTGCCGTGCATCTCTGTTTAAACCCGAGGTCTAACAAATCCAAGCAACTACCTCGTTTGTCACTTGTGTACTTTTCCTTAGCTTGGAGTGGTCATGTGACCCGACTAGCGTCTGCAGGTTGTATTGGTGCTGTATTTCTGTATGCCATGACATGGTCTCATGACTTTGATATATCATTCCAATTGCAAAGCAGGAATGATTATATAAAACGTTCCTTGTTTAGCTCACGCATTTTTCACCGCATGGGAGTTGTATGGGTGCCGTAATTCTTTTTCCGCCAACATGGTACACTGAATATGGAAATGAAAAATCGCATGCTAAGAATGACACAATGCGCAAACCAAATTGTTGACTGGTGATTATTATATTTACTTATGGCGAACATCTCAGCGGTTACAAGGAATGTAAACGGGTGTCGCGAGTCAATGAAGCGTTACCAACTTTTTGAATTTCTCAAGTTGAACCACTTAAGTGACTTATATCTGCTTCAAGAAACCCACACCATTGCTTCAGATGAACCACAATGGCAAGTTGTGTGGAGAGGTCCCACGTTCTTCTCTCACGGGACTACGCACTCCGCTGGTATCGCCATATTAATCAATCCTAAAAACAATGTTACAGTACTGAGCTGCAACGACGTAGTTCCTGGCCGGTTATTACATATCCACTTGAATATTGAAGGCTCTCCTCTTCATCTGATCATCGTTTACGCTCCGACCGATGGTGTGAAACGGCTTGCTTTTTTCAAGGTTTTGAAACAATTTCTAAAAGGTCTAAATCAAGATCCAGTCATCATACGAGCAGACTATAATTGCACTGCAAACCCTGTTATGGACAGACTAGACAGCCCCGAACCACATCCTCCATCCGCTAATTTTGTACCAAACACTGTAAGGCGCTTCAAACTTA